GGCAGAGTTTTTTGGGTCTTCTATGTAGAGTATCATATTGTCAGCAAATAATGACAGTTTAACTTCTTCCTTTCCTATCTTTACTCCTTTTATTTCTTTCTCTTTTCTAATTTCTGTGGCTAATGTTTCCAGAACTATATTGAATTGGAGTAGTGATAGTAGACATCCTTGTCTTGTTCCTGATTTTAGCATGAAGGTTTTCAGTTTTTGACCATTTAGTGTGATGTTGGCTGTTGGTTTTTCATAGTCTTAATCAAGTTGAGATAAAAACCTTCTATTCCAATTTTCAGTAAGGTTTTTATCATGAATGGGTGTTAGATTTTGTCAAATGTGTTTTCTGCATCTATTGAGATGATCATATGGTTTTCGTCCTTGGCTCTGTTAATATAGTGTTCATTTATTGATTTACATGTGTTGAACCATCCTTGCATCCCTGGGATAAATCTGACTTGTTCAGGGTGCATGATCTTCTTTATGACACTCTGAATTCTGTTTGCCAGTATCTTGTTGAGGATTTTTGCATCTATGTTCATTAGGGAGATTGGCCTGTAGTTCTCTTTCTTTCACTGGGTGTTTCCCTGGTTTTGGAATCAAAGTAACACTTGCTTCCAGGAATGAATTTGGAAGAATTGCTTTCCTTTCAATTTTATGGGAGAGGTTCAAGAGTTATGGCAATAGTTCTTCTCAAAATGTCTTGTAGAATTCAGTGGTGGAGCCATCAGGACCTGGTGTTTTCTTTGTTGGTAAATTTTTAATTATGTTTTCAATTTCATTGATTGTAATTGGAGTGTTTAGAATTTTTATATTTTTTTCATTCAACTTTGGCAATTTGTATGTATCTAGGAATCTGTCTCTCAGCTGGACTGTCTGAATAGAGATAATTACATCCACTCTTATAAATTGCTATCTGATGGCTGCACTCTCATAGTGGGAGGGGAAACCAGTACTTTGTCCATTTGGGATCTGGCGGCTCCAACCCCAGGCACCAAAGCAGAGAGGACATCCTCAGCCCCCGCCTGCTACACCCTGGCCATCAGCCCTGACTCCAAGGTCTGCTTCTCATGCTGCAGTGAGGGCAACATCACCATGTGGGACCTGCACAACCAGACGATGGTGAGGCAATTCCAGGGCCACACAGACATAGCCAGCTGTATTGACATTTCTAACGATGGCACCAAGCTCTGGACAGGCAGCTTGGACAACACCGTCAGGTCCTGGGACCTGCGTGAGGGGCAATGGCTACAGCAGCACGACTTCACCTCACAGATCTTCTTGCTGGGCTACTGCCCAACTGGGGAGTGGCTGGCTGTGGGCATGGAGAGCAGCAACATGGAGGTTCTGCATGTGAACAAGCCTGACAAGTACCAGCTGCATCTCCATGAGAGCTATGTGCTGTCCCTAAAATTTGCTTATTGTGGTAAGTGGTTTGTGAGTACTGGAAAAGACAACCTCCTCAATGCTTGGCGGACCCCCTATGGAGCCAGCATCTTCCAGTCCAAAGAGTCCTCATCTGTGCTGAGCTGTGACATCTCTGGGGATGACAAGTACATTGTCACCAGCTCGGGTGACAAGAAAGCCACAGTCTATGAAGTCATCTACTGAAAACATAACAGGGCTTAACATTTATAGTTGAATTGGGCCAAAATGTTTTGAATTTGTAGAAATAGAGAAGTTGTAACTTTAAATGAAAAAAAAAAACATACAAAACAAAATACCTGTTTCCAAACCTGAACACAATACTACCTCATGTCTACAAAGAGGAGGCAACGAGTCTGTCAACAGAAAGTCACCTGTCTGCCTACTAGACCAGAAGTAGCCAAGACCGCATGAACCAGGGGCCAAGGGCATGGGACTGAGGAGTGGACCTGCTGACTCGAGCCATGCCTGCCCTTCCCTCCGGCCTGTTGCTCGCACCTTGCTGCTGTGAGGCTTTCTGTTCTGTGCAATTCATCTCGAGTTCCATCCTTGTAGAGCAGTGGTGTCTCTGATGAACCTGTTTCCTGGTTCTGCATCTTGTGAAATGTTTTTTGTATTTTTGTTGAAGGTTAAACATTTCTATAAATTGTAAATATATTTGGTTTATTACAGTAAAGGGTTTAGTACCAATAAAAAAAAAACACATTTCTTCTGTGTTTTCCATTTTATTAGAGTACAGGCTGTTGAAGTAGGTACTGATGATCTTCTGGATTTCTGCTGGATCTGTTGTGACTTCCCCCTTTCCTTGTTAATTGCATGTTCTTTGATTTTTCATGTCCATTAATATTTGCTTTGTATAGTTGGGGTCATTTGTATTTGGTGCATATATATTTAGGACTGTCATCTCTTCCTCTTGGATTGTTCCCTTCACAAGGATGTAGTGACCATCTTTGTCTCTCTTAATTAGTTT